CCCCCCCCCCCCCCCCCCCCCCCCCCCCCCCCCCCCCCCCCCCCCCCCCCCCCCCCGCCAAGTCACAGACCAAAGACAACGTTGACAGCACCTCCGAGAATCGGAATGGCGTTCACCTCCTCGGTGCTCCACCTCGGCGTCCCGTCCGGGTTCTTCAAACTCTTGAGAAACAGATTGAAGTAGTTGTATCCGTACGGGGCGAGTACGGTGGCGATGTACAGAAACGGGATGACATACGCCGTCCACATGCAGAATGTGCGTCTTGGTCTCTTGTCAGTGGGCCTTGCTCAGGGGTTAGGGAATAAATGACGGACTTAACACCCTCCAAAGTAATCTTTCGTGCTTCGTCCCGACTATGGCGTTGTAGCCGCTCCTTTGCTATGTCTATGTGTTCCTGCGCCAGCCACGCGGCCCTGGGATTGGGACGGTTGGGGTAGTCTGGGAGCATGAAAAAGCCCGCAGCGCCGACGACTAGCGTCATGGCGCCGTTGATGACGAACAACCACCTTGAGATCTTAGATACAGTCATAATGCGGTTTGGGACGAAACGTACCGCCAGCCTCGTAAACCCAGTTTGCCTTCCAGCGTGTCGAGGATCGCGACTTGCAAACCGCCGGACATCATGGATCCGATGGCCTGGCAGGAGTGGTAGAAGCCCATGCGCTTGGCGAGTTCTGTTGGTGTGTACCAGTACACTTCGGGATGTTAGCGGTAGGTATCAACTGCGGACGTGGAACACGTACTGAACAGTGTCATCATACCGGGCCAGGCTGAGCTCTCGAACAAGCCGAGAAGGACACGGAGGGCATAGATCTGATGGGCATTCTGCGACAGGGCGATAAGCGCCGTCACGAGGCCCCATCCTATCTCCAGTCCGGAGAGCCAGTTGCTAGGCCGCACATAGGTGATGATAATCTGGGATGGGATGAGCATGAGACAGTACGAGATGCTGAAGAATGTCGTGAAGCTGCTTTGTTAGCAACGAGTCACATGTCGGGCAAAGAGACTTACTAGTTGAGCTCATCGCCAAACAGGCCGAGATCTTCCCTCATACCCGAGACATACGCCGAGCTGATGTTTGTTTGGTCCAAGTACCTAGAGAGTTAGTCGAACTTCCCGCCCTTCCCGGATGGCTTACTTGATAACTGCTGCCACGTTAGGAGAAGCGGAGGCGCTGGCACAGGAAACTAACTCTGAGATACACATCCAAAAGTTAGGAGAAAACAGTCGAGACGACGGACGAGGTGGCGCTCAATGTGAGCCCTTTCGAGTTCGCATGGTGTTGGATCCAGTAAAGCTCGTAGGGATTCCTCGGCTGCTGGCAAGGGCGGCGGAGCCGGAGCTGTGCCGTGCCCATCGGCTGCAGGTTCACGACCGAGAAGCGGCGATTGTTCCGACACCATTCCGACGTCGAATCCCCGCGGATGCGACCAAACACAGCCCGCGACTCGACTCGTCTCTGGAATAGGGTTTTGCCGAAAATAAAGGCCTTTATGTATGCCCATTCTAAAGAAATTCGCCTCTCCGCCTCCAGACTCGAACCGCGAAGACGATTGTGGAAGGGCGGAATGCGAAATGACGAAGTCACAGGATACCGCAGCTGACGCTTGCAACACCGTTGTTGACAGCTGCTAGGTAGTGGGTCCTGCAGTGGCTGCGATAAGAGAGCGATAACAACAAAAAGCCCTGCTGGTTAGTTTTGCATCATTACGTGTCCTGCCACCAGAACCACGATTTCCAACGACACCTTGGTGCCGGAAAAAATGAATCAGAAGGTTCCTGTCTCTGTATTTGGCAGCATGGGAATCCGTAATGTAAAAAGCAAAAATATCTGGGACTGGTGAGATTCGAACTCACGACCTTTGGATGTCTCGGTGTTTTTGACACCGGGTCATGTTATGAGACCAACGCTCTAACCAACTGAGCCACAATCCCTAACACCGCTGAACCGTTTCCGCTCCAGGTGAGTTGTCAGGGGTCTGGGAATTGCTGTACTTCAAGGCGACCAGGCCTACCACTTCGACTTCCACAGCTCTTCTCCGAGAGTACGGCTGCTTGAGGTCCCGTTGAGCCCGCCAGGGGCACGCTGGCATTCCTGAGAGGATGGAACCTCAAAAATGGTTGCAGCCACACTGCCCACGAAATTTTTAGGAGGATGTGGCTCTGCTGGATAGATTTGCACGGATATTGCACATCGTTTGGCCGCCGCTTCAACACTCTTCTCAGTGAGGTCGCCACAAAACAAAAGTCTTCGCTGAGGCCCAAATTGCGGTGAAGAAGGTGGGGCATGTCCTATTGGTCAGAAGCGTAAAAGGCCCTCCAGTTGTCAACCACCCATGGACGTCCTGTCCGATTGGTCGATAAAAAGCCCGTCTGCATCACTTTTTGCTTTGGGGGCAGCCTTGGAGGAAAAAGCCCTCGCGTCTGATCACTCGCCGGTCTTCACCAGATTTGACCTGATAAACACATTAAATTTCCCACTTCTCCTCCGGCGCTGCTCTCTCCCTCGTCATCTTCGAGCACTTCCTGGCGCCGCTTGGAACAGAACAAAGTGCCGCCCTTCATCCTCAAGATGGATTCCGAGTCCCTTCCAGCAGGTGACGGAGGCATCGATTCGAGGATTCTCATTCTTTCTCATGGGCCGCAGTTTCAAGTCGAGCCTTGCACCATCACCAACCAGCATTCGCTGTCGCCAGTCCCACACGATACTTCGACGCTCGTTCTCAATCACCAAGAAGATGGCCGAACCGACAATCGCCTGACGCTCGCGGGTCCTGCTGAGAGCAGCTTCGACGTCTACCCAGACACTCACACAAGCACGCCGTATCAGCGAGGCGACTGGGAATCGAACAGGGCCACCATCCAGAACCTGTATCTCGACCTCAACCTGCCACTCAGCGATGTGATCGAAATCATGAGAAACAATCATTGCTTCTTCGCAACGTGTGTACACCTACGGTTACCTTGTTTACTGTCTAGTATAGCTGCTGACTGTGTCCATGTTGTAGTCCGCGCATGTACAAACGCCAGTTCACAAAATGGGGCTGGAAGAAGTACAAGGCAGATCGACCCGCAAAGCGAACATGCATCCGGTCCGAAAATGAGCGATCCCGCCTCAAGTCCAGTCTCACCCTCCATGTACAACTTGTCGATGATCCGCTTACGCAACACACGCTTTGCATCGCTCGGGACCTGCCCTCGTACCTTGGGGCGTGTTGGGTCGATATCGAAATCAGAGACGGCGTCTTCATATTTATGGACAATTTCATGCGTCCCGACTTGCAGCCTGCGCATCTAACTGCCTCTGGGCTGTTCTTGGCGGGGATTCACAATTTTATTCACCGTTGTCCGTACGCTGGACGGCTGCATCTTGAAAGGAGCTTCGCTTTGATCGAGAAAATTCTCAAGCCATGCAACCCGAACACCCTTATTTTTCTCAATTTTTTTGTTCCCATGGCCCTCGTGAGTTACCGAGATACAACCACCGCTTCAAACACGGGTTCTCCGGGTCGCCTCGCCTTCCATATGTATCTGAAGTTTGTCGCTCAGCTTGCCAGCATCCGTCTCGGGTCCCACCATCCTATGACTTCCGTCCCAGCAGCTCTGCATTTGGTGCTAACCGGTTCGGCAGACCCTCGCGATCACATTCTTAGCTTCATGTCGAGGAACATGCCTTATATCGGAAACCGTGTATTCAGGGTTATTGTCAGCCGACCGAACGGCGTTGAAGGGACCGATGCGTGGTACTGGGCGAGGTCGCTATGGATTGGTCTCACTCACACTTTATGGCCGAGCGAGCGGCGCCTTTCCCCATCACAGAGCAATGTGTAGCAACTGGAAAGTGTCTCTACTTATCTCCTAGACTGTGTCCCGTGTTCCGAATTTTTATCCTTTTTAAATTTTTTAATTTCTGATCTCGTCATACTATTACCTCTCAACAGAAGGTCTCGCCACCGTCGGGTGGGAGCTCTTTTTTTGTACAAGGAATCCCTAGCGGACTTGATAGAGATAGGAGTCGGATTTTTATACCGCATTCCATCATAAAACATGTTTTCAGAAGACACGACAGAACCAGTCGGCTTCAACTCGATTGACTGACCCACGCCCCTGCCCGGCATACCTCCCCCTCACTTGACATACACTAGTCTCATAGACTGTGGATCGACAGGAGGAAAACCGGGTAGCAAGGTCAGATAACCTGGCCGGCAGACGTACATTTCAAGGAAGCACAACCTGCCATCTGAGGACACTCCAGACCCTGGCCGGGTGACTTCCCGAATCCCCCTAGACGACCCCATACATACCATCCGTAGCTCCACGCAGCATTCTCCCTATGTCGACAATATTTCTGGACCCAAACATCTAGCAACCCATCAGGCACCAACGACACCCTGCTTTACTTGTCGCAGCGCATACAATGTCAGGGTCGCACCGGGACCGCCCCCAGCCGGACTGTACCGCCCGTTGCTTATTGCATCAAAGCAAGCTAGGCGGCGTCCAGTTTCTCATTGCAACTCTACCCCGTAATAATCCCGTACCGTAACCCGGACTACAACCCAGGCGGGCCGGGGTTCTTTTACAGTGGCGGAATCTGATTGGTGGATCACGACCCCTGGCCGGACTGGAGCCGAAGCGGAAGACGTTGCGCCATGCCTACGGATCCGGCAGGTCTTCTTTGTTTCTTCCCAGATTTATTCAGCCACTGGAGATAGGTTTCCTGTCAGACGGTTCTACGGGCCCGGGTTTCCCCAGTTCCCACAATCCATGACGAAATCCCACAGTCGAATTACATCTTTTTGCGAACCACCTCGCACCAGAAAAGGAGAACCCGAAAAAGGGAGGGGTTCCTGACAGGATATGCAGGCACAAACGCGGCAGGGACCCTACCAAATTAAAAGGCCCTATACGTCGTCATGTACGCCCACTATACCCATTGATTAAGGGGATCCGTCGGCCGTCCAGCCCGTCGCCTAAAACTTGTCACCTCGGATTCTTCCCTCCCTTTGCTTTTTTCCCACGCGATGGACCCGGGCCCTCACCCTATTAGGCTGGTTCTGCGGGCTCGGAACACGATTGGTACCGAGATTTGTTGGCAGCAGACGGCCGCGCCGGGAATTCTTGGCGAAAAGAGTTTCTGGCGTTCTTTGCCCGCTTATAACCACCCGAGGAGCTGGTATCCAGATTTGCATTTTTTGATTAAATTGTATAATAAACAAAAAAAGATGTGGATCGCAACCCCGGGTCCGGACCGGATACTACCTACCTGCGCTTTTTTTTTTGCCTGTCACATTTTATAATACCTTGAGATCCCCTACCCTACCTTCCCAACTTTCTGGGTCCGGCGATCTCCATCCATCCATCCCAGATCAGATCCGTTCCTTTGATACCCCCTTACCTTCCTTAGGCACACAGACCCCGCCCCTGATAATCAGTAAAGATGCACAAGAAGCTCCTCTCGTTCCTGCTGGCGGCCCCGGCGTCGGCCGACATCATCTTCGCCACGTCGTACAACGACCACGCCCTGACGACGCTCGACTTCAGCGGCGGCAAGCTGACCAAGGTCGGCTCGCCCAAGCTCGACTGCGGGTCCGAGCCGACCTGGCTGACGCTCGACTCTGCCAACTCGGTGCTCTACTGCCTCAACGAGGGCTGGGGCGGCGCCTCGTCTATTACCTCTTACAAGGCCTCGGCCAACGGGTCCCTGACGACGCTCGACGTGCTGCCCGTGCTCAAGAGCCCGGTGGCGTCGACCTTGTTCGGTGCCAATAGCAGCCGGCTGGCTGTTGCGTTCTAGTATGTACCCCTCATCCCAAAAAAAAAAATAGAGAGAAGAAAAGAAAAGAAAAGTAGAAAAAAGGAGACAATACTAACAAAAACCGGAAAAGCGACACCTCCTCCTTCGCCACCTTCTCAGTCGCAAACCCCAAGGACCTCGCCCTCCTCTCCCAGACCAACTACACCCTCGCAGCCCCCGGCCCGCACCCGGACCGCCAGGAAGCCCCGCACCTGCACGACGCCGTGCTCGACCCGTCCAAGAAGTTCATCCTGGTGCCCGACCTCGGCTCGGACCTGCTGCGCGTGTACAAGGTCGACGAGAGCGCGGCCTCGGGCGCGTCGGCCGTGGGCGTGGTCAAGGCCGTCGCCGGCTCGGGCCCGCGCCACGCCGTTTTTGCCACCGCCGGCGCCAAGACGTACCTCTACACCGTCAACGAGCTGTCCAACACCATCACGGGCTACACCGTCTCCTACAAGGCCGACGGTTCCTTCCCCGAGTTTACGCAGATCTTCGATGTCAGCACCCACGGTCCCGGTGGTAGCGTGCCGGCGGGCACCAAGTCTGCCGAGATTCAGATTTCTGTACGTTTATTTGTCTCTCCCGTCTCCCCCCCCCTATCCCCCTTTTATACACCATGAGATTTGATACTGACAAAAAAAAAAAAGCCCGACAACAAATTCATAATCGTCTCCTCCCGCGGCGAAAAGTCCGTCACCATCCCCGCCCTCGACGGCTCTTCCAATTCAACCATCGCCTCGGACCCCCTCATCAGCTTCAGCATCGACGCCGCGACCGGCAAGCTCACGCTCGTCCAGGTCGGCCCCGCCGGCGGCGTCAACCCGCGCGGCTTCACGCTCAACAAGGCCGGCACGCTCGTCGTCTCGGCGCTGCAGGACGACAACCGGGTCGTCGTCATCGAGCGCGACGTCAAGACCGGGATGCTCGGCAAGATTCTGGGGCACGCGACGGTGGGCATGGGCGACGGGAACGGGCCGAACTATGCTCTCTTTTATGAGTAAGTTGGTTTCGCCGCGTTGTCCACTCTTGATTGAGAAAAATATTTGTATATTCTTTTTTGTACATGTGTTTTTTTTTTTTCTTTCCCTGTGCGTTCCGCTCGTCCTGAAAGTGTGTGAAAATTGATTTGGTCTGGGATTTC